TTCCATTCCATTCCATTCTATTAAAAACCACCAGTGTTGGAGCATCCCCAACCTCTGGAGGCAAGTTGTTCCACTAATTCATTGTTCTGTCTGGAAGTTCCTCCTCAGTTTTAGTTGGTTCTTTCCTTAACTGGTTTCCACCCATTGCTTCTTGTCCTGCCTTCAAGTGCTTTGGAGAATAGATTGACTCCCTCTTCTTTGTGGCAGCCCCTGAGAGATTGGGACAATGCTATAATGTCAACCCTAGTCCTTATTTTCACCAGACTAGACATGCCCAGTTCCTGCAACTGTTCTCCATATGTTTTAACCTCCAGTCCCTAATCATCTTTGTTGCTCTTCTCTGTACTATTTCTAGAGTCTCAACATTTTTTTTATATATTGTGGCGACCAAAACTAGATGTAGTATTCCAAGTCTGGCCTTACCAAGGCATGATAAAGTGGTACTATCACTTCACGTGATCTTGATTCTATCCCATTGTCAATGCCGCTAATTCCAGAGCTGTCCATCAAGAATTCTGACACCGCTATCAGGCTTTGACAGTGGGAATGATGTGAAGTGAAGGAAACATTTAACTTCCCTTTTTCTCTGCACAGAAAGCATGATCTATTGACTCATTCCACCGTAATTCTGATCTGAGCTGTGTGGGGCTTGTACATGTTATGGATTAAGCTTCCTAAAATATAATAGTTTTAATATGAATGGAATTCTCAGAAGGAGCAGGAACTATTAGTGGGGGAACCATAAATCTTGTTAAGCCCCAGGTACTTTGGTGTCTGTGAAAAAAAAATGAAGGTAACATGATAATGCTGTCCATGGAACGATGTAAGGTATTTGCAAAGATTAATCGGAATAAGAATTTTGTGCCAATATCTTTTTTTTAAAATCGTATGTCCCTCTCGGATCTTTCAGCCCTAATATCGTTTTGCCTTTAATGTCGCTGAATTACATTTGCAGCATTTTGATAACCATATTAATCTTCTTATCTGGATTGCTGCGTCCACTGAGATAAATCCATATTAAAAATGGATCTAAAAGAGGAAGATAATGCCCCCATAAAACACCTTTCAATAGACTGTGCGGATTGGCATCTTGATACCCGTTTACCATTGGTTGACCTTATCACAAGTTTTCAAAAGTTTCTGAGTGTGCAGTTAATGAGTAGGCTAGCTTGATCACTCAAGAGTGAGACACTAGTGAAGTAGGCACAGAAGGACCTGCATTTTCTGCAAGTTGCATGTGAAAAACACATCTTCCTTCCCCTGTCCTCACCACTTTCTATAGAGGGAAGGTCCACAGCATCCTGTCTTACTGCATTACAGTCTAGTTTGGAAGCATTACTTCTTCAGACAGGAAGGCAGTGCAAAGAGTGGTGAGGATAGCAGAAAAAATTATTGGCAGTTCACTTCCTTCTATCCAAGACATAGCATAGAAGTGATGCTTGAGCAGAGTCCGTACAATTGTCTGGGACGGTACATATCCTGTTCACGATCTGTTCTTTTTTTAAAAAAAAATTTTTTAATTGGTTTTTAAAACAAACATAAACAAACAAAACATAAAAACATGCAGTCATCTTCCATATATATACATACAGTGTGCCGGTTGGTTTACAAATTGTTTTGTGCTTCTACTTCGTAGTCTTCAATTACAATTACATTGTATATAATCTCATATTTTCAATCAAATATTAAATACATTAATATCATTATTAATCAATCATTTGACTATACTTTTATTCATTCGTGTTTTACGAAATAATCATATTTTACTTAATTTGTTTTATGACAGTTCATATTATCATCCCAAATCTATCCTAGAATCATTTTGTAGATATAATAAGAAAAGAATACATCTTTATATATTTATTATTTTCTAAAAGTCTACATATTTCATTACTATATTTTATTGTCTAACCATTGATAGAATAGATCCCAAATTTTATAAAATTGTTTATCATCTTGTTCTCTAATTTCAAATGTCAATCTACTCATTTCAGCACATTCTAATATTTTCTTAATGATTTCCTCCTGTGATGGTTTTTTCCCATTTGTCCAGTTTTTAGCAAATACAATCCTAGCCGCTGTTAATACATTTACAATCAGGTATTTCAAGTCTTTACTATATATTTCAGGTAAAATTCCCAATAAAAATATCTGGTTTCAAATCTGTATGTTTTTTTGTCATTTTTTCCAACCATGTGTGGATTTTAGTCCAGTATTTTTTAGCGTCCGCACAAGTCTACCACATATGGTAATATGAGCCAGGTATCTGATGACATTTCCAACATTTTTCGGATTTATTCTTGAACATTCTTGCTATTCTTGTCGGTGAAAAATGCCACCTGTAAAACATCACGATCTGTTCTTGTTACCTTCTGGGAAGAGGCTTCATGCTGAGCATCCAGATTTGGTCACAGTTTTGTTCCATATAGCATCAACGTTGTGAACTCTCACGTTTTCTCTTTCTGCTATTCAAAATGGACAGGCATTAATGTATGTACGTACGTACGTACGTACGTACGTATGTATGTATCTATGTATGAAGGGACATGGTGGTTCAGTGGCTAAGATGTTGAGCTTGTCGATCAGAAAGGTTGGTAGTTCGGCGGTTCGAATCCCTAGCGCCGCATAATGGAGTGAGTTCTTATTACTTGTCCCAGCTTCTGCCAACCTAGCAGTTTGAAAGCCATGTAAAAATGCAAGTAGAAAAATAGGGACCCCTTTGGTGGGAAGGTAACAGCATTCTGTGCACTTTCTGCATTTAGTCATGCTGGCCACATGACCACAGAGATGTCTTCGGACAGCGTTGTCTCTTCGGCTTTGTAACGGAGATGAACACCACTCCCTAGAGCAGGAAACAACTAGCACGTATGTCCGAGGGGAACCTTTACCTTTATGTATGTATAGAGATAGAGATAGAGATAGAGACAGAGAGACAGAGACATAGAGATATGTCATAGGGGTGTGTATGTGTGTGTGTGTGTACTGTATGTGTGTTATGTATGGGTATGGGTAGATATATACTTTCTTTTGAGAGAGGTAACTGAATTCTATTTTTAATGCCGACCAGTGTGTTCACTGTAAAAAAAAAAAAAAAAGACAATAAAGGTTATCTTATCTTAAAAAAAAAAGTTTTTCAAGGGAAGGGCAATTCAGTCCTTTGAATCTTATAAGAGCTCAAGAAGATTTAGTTGCTCCCCAAGATGATTTAAGAGCACCCTTGTTGATTCAAAGTTCTTTGGGCAGTAGTATTAAATGCGCACTCGGCGAAGCAATTTGGGTGAGACGAAAAGGGAGAGATTATTTTATGGAAAAGAGGGATGGAAAAGAGCGACTGAAGTGGAACTTAATTGCATTTAGGAGAATGCAAATGCATAATTATGAATGTGGTCTCCTTGCCCCATGCACCAACACCCAGAATCTCCTGGTAGTCAAAATAAAGACAAAGGCAATGTTTCCCTTCATGCTCGATTTTCATGGAGTATATCCCTAGCAAATCAGTATATAGGCTGTTACTGTTGCTGGTAATGAGTACTATGTAATGCACATATTTCCTGCCTTTTAAGGTACTGCCATCATTGATTTGTTTGATGAGAAGCTGTCAGTCACCTATCATAGAATACCTGCAGGGTAAAACCTTTTGGGACATGTTGTGTGATATGTGACAAGCTTTGCAGCTCTCCCAACAATACCCTTTTTAAAAAAACTGATCTTAGGTAACAGAAAGAGCTGACATCATCTTATACTCATACAGTGCAGGACATACTCGGTAAAATGACTTTCTTGGGTTTTTTTTTGTTTTCCTTTGAAAAAATTTCACTTCTCATCCAAGAAGCTTCTTCAATTGGTGAACTGAGAAGCTTCTTGGATGAGAAGCGAAATGTCTTTGAAGAAAAACAAGACAGTCCAGTTGCCTCCTGAAAAAAGCATCTTTGGGACAACCATGACCTGGATGATTTA